TAAATCATTCAGTTCAATACCAAAAATGCACGAATATAAATAAGTTTATTCAAATAATTCAACCTTTCCATATAACACCTCTTATAATATAATATCACGCTATTATTCTTCGTAGTTTTGTGCATTCTTATGTGATATATAGGCCACAAACTGTAGGATGTATTATGCGATGCACATACAAAATTATGCTCATTATACAAATTAATAATGTCAAAAACGAATAATACCAAAACAAAAGGTTCCAGGTATTCGAGATCCTCGTTGCATTCCTCCATCATTTGATCAGCCTCATCCTCACTCATCGGTGGTTGTCTGGGTAGGAACAATGAAGCCAGGTCCGTTTTTATCTTGTCACGTTCCATGATCACCTATTTAACTCATTTGTAGAATTGAATGCAAAAATGCACCCTCTTTCAGCAATGATCATTTATGCTTGTTAGGATGCCTGTGTGCTCACAATAGTGAACAAACCTTCAGTTAATCACAACATTTAACAAACCTTCAGATCGGCACCTCGTCTTTGCACACTATCGGCTGTCATTGTGAAATCGTACGGTACAATATCATCCCATCCTTGGAATTTCGATCTGTAAATTACAACATCATTTATTAGCATAAGTGAATAAGTTCTATTGAATCAATTCACAATTATTTGTAATAAAAAGTGAGCTTGGAATGACGATTGAGAAATCAAGAATATACAATACATTATGAAAAATCGAATGTTTAGAGTTAACTGAACGGATTTACGAGGAACACCTCTACATATAGGCAAGCAATGAGAAACATAATTTGTGAATGAACAATCAATGAATGAATCAACTCGAATGAATAACCTAAACATAGTTGTCTCTTCACCCTCGACCTCCCTTGATATGGTCGTGTAATCTGGTCTTTCGAGCATTGCATGTAACTCACATACCATTTTCTGCAATTGCGCTGCATTTACAACTTGATCGTTGCGTATAAACATGTCATCTGATAACCCAATTCTCCCTATGGAATTGCTTTATTGTCGAATTTCTTTCATTACGAAATTATTTCATCAGCAAGGACTAAACTGAAATGTCTGGTTCGTACGTTGGTGATGTACCAAAAAAGGATGGCGCTAGAACGTCCTGGATCGATCAGTAATAATGGCTCCTTATTCATATATCGAAAATAAGCCTATTTGAATATACTCTGCCATATTGCGAATGCAATAACGCAAATTCCAAACGACTGACAATGAGTGAAAACAAACCTGTCCAGCCATTTTCAATAAACGATTTGCTTTCTTGCCAAGCCATAGAAAGATATCAGAAGTACAGTCGAGAATATAAGCACACTTTGTACTCAGCATATCCTATTAAATGTTATAAATCACTCTTTCATCAAACAACATACCACATCCTTGATCAGTCAAAAGCCAGAACGAGAATACCAATCGCATGAATCAATTAATGGAAACGAATCGAACCTGTTTCAATACCCCTCCTTTCAAATCAACTTGCGGTAATTCCAGAAAGCCCATTCCGATTTGAACTTGATACAATCGTCTTCGTTCAGGTACAAAATCTGCATCAACATGCTCCACTATTGGATCATCTGGTTTTTTCGGTTGGCCTGAAACAATCAAACTATTCATGCAAACGTAACAATAATAACCATAATCATGCAAATTATTACAGCAACAATTAATAATAAGTGCGCGTACCACATAAGGCGATCCAGAACTCTTCGGGTGTCTTCAGTTCAGTACACGTCTCGATTTCACTTGTTCCCTTGCGATCCTTTTTATTCATTTTCACGGCGAACAAACGTGCTTTATTCGAGATTGTTATCTGACATAAATGCATTCACTGTATGAAAAATGTGAAGCAAATGGTAATTATCCGCTTACTGACGGAAGCAGCTGTTGCATCGATATATCATTAAAATTTGATATTATACCACAATAATGATAGCATCAATAGATAGGGACATAATAAATAATATATTGACAATGAAGACAAACCCTTGCTTTTCGTCCACTCCAAATCCACATAGTATCGCCAGCATCCAAGAAGAAGACATATCTGGGATCGAGACTATCAACCGACACCGGGACAGGTTCCATTTGCACTGAAGAGCCGTTCGCTGACACTCGATACAACCTTCAATTATTTGTTCTTTATTACACGTATCATCAAC